TTCCCTACAAAACTCAAAATTTAGCCAAGCCTGAATCAAGCAAATTCAGCCAAGCCTGAATCCAGCAAATTCAGCCAAGCCTGAATCCAGCAAATTCAGCCAAGTTTGAATCTCTCTTCTACGCCGAAACATATGGCAAACAAAACTCAAAATTCAGCAAGCCTGAATCCAACAAATTCAGCCAAACATGAATATATTTTCTACACTAAAACATATGGCAGACAAAACTCAAAATTCAGCCAAGCCTGAATCTAGTAAATTCGATAATCAAAACGACTCATTTTTCTTCACTACTCAGTTAGTTATGAATTATTAACATACATTCCAAACTTGAGGAGGAGTGTTAAGAATTATAATAGAAAATAATTTATTCCTATAAGAAGTTATGAGGAAAAAATTCTTTCCTTAATATAAGTAAATATTTTCTTTCCTAATTTATATTTATTTTCTTGGATTAGGAATTATTTGTTTCCCTATTTTATGTTAATTCCTATATCTCCTAATAATTAATATGAATTAATTATTGGAGATACCAGGTGATATATCTTTCCTTTCATGTCGTTTCTTTTTTATTATTTTTCCTATTACTGAATTTTTGTAATGGTTATTTATTCTCTCGTTCATATCAATGAAACACGTTCATATCAATGAAATGAAACAATATGAAGTATTTCACTTTATTTCGCATTATTTTGAATTTCAACATCTAGATTTACATGAAAAATTTTAGATGAAAAAATTCACAAACAGAGGAGAAGAATTCATTATATCAAAAAGAAAAAAAAAGTTATGAGTAAAAAGTTGTGAAAAATAGAAGCTTGTGTAATATTACATCCACAAAATCCTGATTATACATGCATGCATGCTCGTGTGTGTACGCATTTTTCAATTGAAACCCAATAGAATTTGGATAACAAACTCATACACAAACCTTTCACTATAGATGGCATCAAGTTCTCTATAAGTAATGGCAGCTGCAGAGAGGAGAAGGAACTCCTATAGAGAAGGAACATCCTAATTACACTATCACAAAATCACTATTATCTCATCCCGCCAATCAATTTATCAAATAAAATTTAAAGCAACTTTGGTAAAAGAAGGGGCATAAATAATAATATTTAGTAAAAGACTTCTGTAAATAAGAACAGATAATTCTATAAAGAAAACAACTTGAATAATTACATACATACCAGCAAATTCCTATATATTTTTTAGGTAGATTTACAACAATAAACATGGCTTCATATTCTGAAGGAAGCAAAAAAAAAGAAAAAATGGTAAAACCCAACAACAAGGCTAATAACCTCTTAGGAAGATTTACATACATACCAACCAATTCCTAAACCTTTACATATCTAACACCTGAACTTCAATTATACGTTACCTTACATATACGTGAAAAAGTCTATTTTGCTTTTAAAAGTTAAAATAGTGGTTATTTTTATATGATATGAAAGATTTGTGTGGAACGAAAAAAAGGAAAAAAAAAAAAAAAAAAAAAAATTGTTGGATAAAAAAATAGTCGTATGCATGTAAATGCCCCTTGTTTGAAATGAGCCTATTTCATTTGTTAACATGGTTTCAAAATTGCATATAAGCATAGTTCTTCATAAGAAGGGGATAAATGTTATAAATCCATAACTCACCAACATGAAGTCAACAAATGGGCCCCCAATAAGTGTGACGTGTTGAACAAGTACACCACACGTATTGGTGTTGACCGAAGAGATCAATAAAACCCAAAGAATTATCTAGGTGGACCTACTTAGAACAGGCTAGGGCTCGAAACGGATTTCACATTGAATTTGAGTTGGGGTTTCCACTTAGGAATTCCCATCTCAAAGAAATATTCTAAGAAAGATGTGTTTGTGATGATCAATTGCTTAAGCTTTTACCAATAAAGAAATACTCTTCTTATATTGTTTAATCCTTCTACATCTTTAAAAGATAAATGTGTTGTTCCTATGAATTAAAATATTTAAAGTTTATAATTTATATATGATAATGCTTTGATATAAAATTTATATTTGCATGCAAAAAAAGAAAATTAGAAAACTTTTCGAAAGAGCAGAAAGAAAGCTGCTCTGTTAGAGCACATAAACCGGTGTGGGATTATTTTAAAATAATTTTCCTCCAGTAGTAGAAGGATATACAGATGCAACATCTTATGGAGTTGGGGAATATGCTTCATTTTTTGTTTTTCTTAACAGCATTGAAATTACAGGAAACAAAATCAGGGCAGAAAATCTTCGCATGGTAATTCAAATCCAACTCAAAAAATAAAAATAAAAATAAAAGAAGATCAAACCCAAAAAAGAAATTTTTCTTAAAAAAAAAACGATTTTTTCAGAAGAAATCACCTCAAGCTGCGGAAAAAGTGCGGTGGATGGAAGCTAACGCGGCGTCGTGAATCAGCTATGAAGGTGTTCAACGTTGAGCTGCAATGGCGGGAAGAACAGAAGAAAGAGAAGCTCTGAGTTTCTTCTCCGAGTCGACAAAACCTAAAGAAATACGCAATGGCTTGGGATTCAAGAAAGCGGGCTCCAGAAATTTCCTCTTTACCAGGTTTTTGATTTGGTTAATAATCATTAAATGGAAAAAGGAGCAGCAATCCATTGTCGTCTAGTCCGGTTAGGATATCTGGCTTTCACCCAGGCGACCCGGGTTCAAATCCCGGCAATGGAATTTTTATTTTTTATTTTTTATTTTTGTTAATTAGACCGTTTATTGAATTTTAAGGAATATTTGTAAATATCTATTTCCCAAGAGAAATTTTTACAAATATTGCAATCAATTTAGGGCTGTTTGTTCGCAAACAGTTTGTGTTCGGTTTGTCAATGAGTTTGTGTTTGATTTTTCGATAAGTAAATAGGATTAATGAGTTTGTGTTCGATTTGTTCGATAAGTAAATAGAATAAATTTTTTTTTGGTTCGGTTAGTTAAATGAATCAAAAACAAGCAGTGATGCATTCGTTCGTATTTGAATCGTTATTTTTCGAAATATAAAATCATTTAAAATAATTATATATAAAAAATTTATCATATTTTAAAAAATTAAATTTTATAAATTATAATATAT